ATGTGGAGGCTTCTTTGTCGTTTGCTGCCTTTTCCCGATATTCTACAGAGATTTGGGATCAACCTACCATCTATTTGTCCCCTCTGTAAGAATGATTCTGCTGAGCTCGAACACTGCATGTTTCGCTGCCCAACGGCACAGCAAGTTTGGCATCACTTTCGTGGTCTCTTCGGCCTTGGCGCTGCTCTCTCTAGCTCAATCAGGGTCGAGTGTCACTCTTGGTGGCTTCTTGCAACTCCGGGGTCGGCGACGGCTTGGTGCGCGAACTTAATCCCGTGCCTAATTCTTTGGACTCTTTGGTGTTCCTACAATCGGGGTCTCTATGACGGCCAAGTTGCTTCAACTTTCATCGCCAATAGACAGATCAAACAGGATCTTTTTGCACTCTCCTCTGTTCAGAAACTTCGACGTAAAGGGCCTGAGGATGAATTTCTCTTGACAGAAGGGATTGTGGCGCGTTTTGCATCTCCGTCGCACCGGCTGACGATTTGGGTTAAATGGCTTACACCGCCATCGGGTCGCCTAAAGCTCAACACTGACGCTTCGTTCGCAGATGACGCCGCTGCTGGTGGTACATGTTTACGGGACTCCAGTGGCTGCCTTATAGCTGGTTTATGCTTCCGATTAGAAGCCACATCGGCTTTGGAAGCCGAGGCTTTTTCGTTACGGTGTGCGCTGCTTTGGTGCATGGCTTTTGCCAAGCGCCCTTTCACGATCGAAGTGGACTCGCTTGCCCTCGCCACTCTGGTTGAAGGCAAGCAGACCAAGATACCGTGGAAGGTTAGAGATGCGGTGCTTTTTGTTCGTTCTTGCTTGGACACTTGGGGCTCCACGATTAGGCATGTCTATCGGGAAGCCAACCAAGTTGCAGACGCTTTAGCTTCGGCTGCTTTGAGTTTCCCCACATCTATGATCTTTTGTAACGCTAGCTCTTTGCCCGAGAAGGCCAAGTTAGCTCTTATGTATGATCTGAGGGGTTTTTCCTCTCTTCGGGCGATTCGTCGCTAATAAAGCTTTTTACTTTAAAAAAAAAAAAGTCCAAAATGCTTATTGTTGTTGTTAGACATCAATTTTAGGTTTAAAAAGGGGAGGGGTAATTTTGTCTCATTATTATCTTTTTTCTTCCTAAAATCTATGAAATTAAAATCCCAATGGGGCATGGGATTTTAAATCTATGAAAATGAGAGAATTGCAATTCCACGGAATTGCAATTCCTTCCAACCAAACTAAGGAATTGAATTTAGTGACCTTTAGAATTAGGTGGGAATTAAGTGAGAATGGAATTTAAATTCCCTCCAACCTAATGCCCTTTAATGATAAGTTACCATCATTCATCCCATTTGAGATGATTCCTTCTTCTTATTAATTAAGCTCCACACATAAATGCAAATGTTCATCCGACCAAATCAACTTCAACCCTATTAAAATATAAAATTGAATATGAATACATATATACTAAGTGTATTGAAGACTTAACTTGCTGTTGTTTTCAATTTCCTTAATTTACCAAGGCACACACTCATTCTATATTATTGCACACAATCCAAAAATTGCAATGTATTGTAACTAGTGCTTGGACGTACAAAGGGTCAAAGGGAATGTATGGGCGTTGTTACCATGCATTTGGTGTGTGCAGTTAAAAAAAGATTTATATGGATGGGTTGCTTTGATGCATTTAATTTACCTATACTGTGCATTTCAATCTCAGCTCATTAATTACCATCATTAAATTGAAGAATTAGCTGCCGAGTACAACCACCTACTACTACTATTATTAATTTATTATTATTAACCCTTTTTTTCAAAAATTAATTTTCCTCCGAGTATCTTACATGAAATATTTTATATTAAAATTATTACTTATGACTTATAGTCAAAACACAATAAAAATATATTATATATGTATAGTAATCACATCAAAACTGCAATTATATATAAGGTGGTCATGACTAACTTCTCAAAATTTAGCTACATGATTGAGTACTCAATTCTCGGTTAATGAGTGACTAAACAAAAGGTAATTAATATTAGCACCAATGCTAATAACTGAAGTGGTTACGATGTTTTACCTCAAACTTAACAATATATCTAATAAAATTTGACAGATGAATGGTTGCAATGTACTCTTTTTTTTCTTTTTTTTTTTTTAAGATGTAAAGGCCACAAAAACACTTGTAATGAGACCTATGTGGCCCGGGCAACTATGCATGTACCCATTCCATTCGATCTGGTAGCTTTTCTACATATACAATCCCATTTATTTATTTATTTATTTATTTTTTTTGAAAGCTACAATCCCATTTATTTAGTACTGTATAATTTAAAATATTATTTTCCCGGCTAATTATTCACATTTATTTTGTTGTTCAACTAATTCATTAATTTAGAAGATGAGATGATATGCATTAGAGTTAATTGTACTCGGATGATATTATTGTAATTATTGTCAATTTTGTTATAAAACTTTTAACATTATATTGTGTGCATAATAATATTTTGATCTAAATAACTCTTAAAAATATCAAAAAAATAAATAAATTTTAAACTTAAATTGTAAATACTAAATTCTAAGTAGTAAAAAGTGAAACCCTAAATCAAATAAAATCAAAATGCTCAATCGTAAATTTTAAAATTCAAACCCTAAGTATAATGCACTTTTGCATTTTGCAAAGTGAAATTCTTAATACTATAGCATGCACCATTTAATACTTTACCGTAAAGTGCACAATATAATGTTAAAAATCTCATTTTTCTTGAAAATATCATATCCTTTATAGCCCCGAGATGCATCATATGGCTTGTAACTTCAATAAGTGTTTGAATATAAATTTGATGAATTTCTAATTTTTCATATCATTATTTGATCTATATCTAATCATAATTTTTTGCATCAAGTGCATTTAGAAGAGTAATGAGAAATAGAATTGTTACTCTTCAAAAATTTTAATTTGATGAACGAATTGTAATTAAAACCATACAAGTTAAGATATAGAGGATTTAACATCAGTTATAATCGATAGGTGCAAATCACCTCCACGAATTGACTTAATAAGTCTCGTGTAAAAAATTTTGAATGTGGGAACTGAAGCAAACTTTGTGTTAATTTTAATCAATGCTATATCTTTTTATAGCCAACACGAGAATGTCATAGACCAACTATCTCCACAGAATGAGGTAATTATTATACATTAAATCCCAATTTTGTTTGGTAAACACAACAAATTCTTTGAATATCTTCAATTTGTAATTTTGCGAAGGTATATTATTTGTAAGTCATTATCAATTTCTTTAAATCTCTTTTTCATAACCAAAATAGATATAGGCTATTGATAATAGTATTTTAAACTAAACTAAATAACTGTAATCTTCTAACTTTTTTGTTTTTTAGTGCATGAATCGTAATCAATGCTAATGTGTTATTTTAAATTAAATTTATAAGAAACTAAAAACGACCACAATGAATTGGTGCTAGCTAGCTCCTGTGAGAAACTGAGAATACTTTTTGGGAACTGAAGCAAATTTAATGACGAGCTGATGTTGACTTTATTTGTGAAGGTCCATTATTTGTAAGTTATTATCAACAGTCTATTTTGATCATGACAAGATATTTAAAGAAATAAGCGATGAGTTATACTTTATGTTAAAATTTGATATTTTTGTTAGTACATATCATTTGATTTGTAACATTGGAATCCATATTCAAAACTTAGCTAGTATTTACAAGGTATGTTGTACGTATGAATTACTTACCATACTTATTTTATTAGTAGAGTGTAGGTGACTTATATAAAAGTGTGTAACATTAATTATATTGCTCAATAATGTAAAAAGCACAGTTGACCGTAAACATATAACATTAAGCACGGTTGATCGAAAACATATAACATTCAGTAGATATATATAACAGAAAATATATAAAATTACACCAAATTAAAGAGAGTTCAGGTGCAAAAGTAATTAAATTTCAGTGGGGGAGTTGAGTAATTAGTGGAAGCAATTTGTGCCGCAAACACAGCATTTGCGTTGTCTGTGTAGTGCACTCCATCCCAGCTGATAAATCTCTGCCCTATATTGCACACGGTGCCCTGCCCACAAAATATTTTGGCATTGTAGGGTGCGCCACCACCCCCACAACATGCCATCAATGGGCTCTCGAAACCTACTCATTTTAATCAAAATGTAAAATTAAAATCGTTAATTCTATCACATTATAAATTGAAATTTATCTATCTTATAACTGGGTATGTATAATAAAGAAATTAAATTTTACCGTATAGGCGATAGTTGGAAATGAGAGAGTACTTGATCATGTATATATCCACGTACACAATCATAGAATCGTTCAGCTCATGCCTCAACTCATTACAAAGTTCCCGGAGTTTGGTGTTAAACTCCTGGGCAACTTCGTTTTGAGACTTGAGGCAACCAATCTCATCAAACTGGGCACCCACTTCTCCTCCCAGTTTTGTAAGCACGTAAGGGAGACAACCCAGTGGCCCAGTGTTGTGGACCCAAAAATTTCTCCCTCCAGCATGGTAAAGGACCTATATATATATATACATATATATTTGTACACATACAAATACACAATTCGTAATTCCATCACATTGCATTATATATATATAATTGAAAAAAAAAAAGTTAGAGAAGGAAAATTTGAGCATACATTTATGGCACTTTTGATTTGAAATATGAAAGATGAAATATTTGATATGACTTGAGGCTTTGAGAGGTGGTCCTCCAAAAAGGCTTGGGAAATATCATTTTGGCCGATGTCAATCATGTACATGGCCTTTTCAAAATCCATATCCCCAAAAGCGCCCTTGGTTCCTGTTTTATTGGATTAAATTAAACATTAATTTGTAATATATAGTAATCCATTAGATTATTATAAAGTAAAATTAAAATTAAGAAAAAAAAAAAACCTGCTGCATGCAATTTGAGGGAGATGGTGCGGAAACGCCTGAATTGAAGCACTTGTGTGCTCAAAGTAAAAAGTTCATCTTCATTATCTTTCTTGACAGTCTTCGAGCCAGAGACAGCAAAGTTGACGCCATTCTCAAAACTTGAAGTGAGAGATTCCAGAAATGGAGACAAGTAGGGTGTCTTCAGACTCTCACCTGTGCATTATGATACGATAGGGATGATGAAACTAGCTTAGCAAATAGATAATAAATTAAAACAAAGGGAAATGTTAGTTGCTTACATAGAAAATTGATTATTAACCGTCCATCGCACATCCGGTCGGAGAAGTTGCCGGAAAATACACGACCATTGGGGGAGCCAAAAAACTGGCCATGAGTGGCGGCATAACCACCTGTATCAGAATTGGAGTCCCCAAAGTTAAAGATAACTGGGGGTATAAAGCATTTGTCATCAGAAGCCAGAGAGGGATGACAACCCAGAATTGCGACAGTGAAAAAGACTCCGAACATAGTTACTTTGGAATCCATGTTTACAAGTACTACGTTGAAATGAAGAGGGAGAGTGAGGTGAGATGTAGAAGAAAGAGAAGGCCGGTGAACTATGTTGAAGTTGAAGAGAAGGCCGGTGAAGTATGATGGAGAGAGGTGTTCATATATATATATATATATATATATATATAATATGGGAATGGGATGGATGGATATGGATGAGTGGGAGACAGCCAAGCTGTGATGTACGAGAATGTTAGAGATTTGTTATGTGTATATTTGCACCTAAAAACCTAACTCGGAATTATTGAATGAAAAAAATAATTAATATCCCAATTGCATGTAGCGAAGTAAATCCTAACCTAAAATTTATGAATTGACGACCTTATAAAACGAAAAATAAAAAATAAAAATTTAAGGTTTGGGGTCAAAACAAATTTTATCTCAACAAAAAATCAACCTGATGGTCGGGTAGCTCGATAATTCTTTTTTTTTTTTTTTCCTACTGAAACACAAAAAGCCAATAACACCTCTAGTAAGGCTTGAATCTCATGTATGGAAGTCCAACTCAAGCGTCATTAGACCACACGGTCTTGGCATATATTATATGAGTTAATTTCATTTTTATCCTAGATTTATAGGTAACAATCCAGTTTTAATCATTTTTTTATTCGAACATCCACATTTGGTCATAGTATTATTGTGGCATCACCATTTTAGTCATTCGTCAACAAAAAGTTGAAATAAATACAAAGGCATTTCAATCATTTTTTATACAAAGTGAGTTAACGCCGTTATATTTTTTTATTTTTTTATTTAAAAAAATCGTAATTGAAGACCGAAATGACTTTATATTTAATGTCATTTCAATCATTTTTTATACAAAGTGAGTTAACGCCGTTATATATTTTTTAATTTTTTTATTTAAAAAAATCGTAATTGAAGACCGAAATGACTTTATATTTAATGTCATTATATTAAAACTCTTTTGTTGATAGAGGACAAAATATTATCATGCCACAATAATACTAGGACCAAATGTAGACGTTCTAATAAAAAAATGATTAAACGTCGACGGTCACCTATAAATCTATGATCAAAATTAGAATTAACTCGATTTAATATTTTAAATAAATTTTGTAAATAAAAGTATAATAAATTTATTTCAAAATAAATAATGAAAAATAACACAATTACTATAATTATTATATTATAGTGTGAATATATTAATTATTTTTTTGTTGAATTTGGAAATAGAGATTTTGATTGATTTATTGATGAAGACACAAGGCCGAGCAAACTGTTTATTAGAATCGGATTGTTTAAATTTTTGCAACGCTTTTAATTCTCGCAATATTAATTTTTCTTATGTAGGTCTTATTGTGAAGCAATGTTTGTCGATTGCTACTGATATGGACTCTGTGAAAGTGGTCTATACTAAGAGAACAGCGAACCATGTGGCTCATGAGCTTGCTCGGACAACCGTGTCGAAGTCTGTCTCTGGGAAGTGGAACATGATCCCACCGACTTGTATCGTTGATTTGTTACGTCATTAATGAAAGCCGTTTCTGTTTGTTTCAAAAAAAAAAAAAAAAAAAAAAAGAGATTTTGATTGATTTATTGAATCATATAAATTTATATTTATCAGTGCAAATGTATTAATTTATTAAAATTGAAAGTTTATTCATGTTAATTTGAAAATGTCAAAATTGAGTTCACTAAAAAATTTTAAATAAGTCCGAAGTAATAAATTTGACATCTCAAAATTGAACGAATTGAAGTAGCTTTATTGCCATTCCTAATTGCATGGATATATGTGAGGATATATTGAAGTAACTAAAGTGGATATATTAACCTTAAAAAAAAAGTGAATATATTAAATGCTCATAAATATAAAGCTACCATTCCTAATTGCATGGATATATTGAAGTAACTAAAGTGAATATATTAAATGCTCATAAATATAAAGCTTCCCATTTTATTTTCTCAATCTATTGAAACACAAAGAACAAATAACGTCTTTTTCTCAACCCACTGAAACACAAAAAACCAACAACGCCTCCACTGAGGCTCAAACTCACAACCTTCCAACTGAAAGTCGAACCCGAATACCATTAGACCACATAGTCTTAGTGCATTCTTATATAATTTATTAAAGGTGGATTAGAAAAATTTCTACTGTGAGGAGAAATAGGGGAGAATTCACTACTTTTGATGCCAAAATGCCATGGTGGCAGAGAGAGAATCAAGAGAGAGAAGGGGTGGGAAGCATCTGCAAATGTTGAGATATTACTCTGTCCAAGAAAAAGAATTAATGATGGAGGAAAGAGAACCAATAGAGAAATGACATGCTTATTATATATATATATATATATATATATATATATATATATTTATAAAATCAGTTTTGATTTTTTTTCCCTCCCATCCCACATTATTCTCTTTCCTAATCACTCTTACATTCTCCCATTAATATCTCCAACTGATAAGGATGCTCTAATTCGCTAATAACAAATTTGACCATTGAATACCACGAATTGAATGACCAATTTTAAATTTATAAGATAAGAATAAATTACCATTTAAATTTCAAACATTTAAAACAACAACTCAAATAATAAATTTGGTATCAATTGTATCATTAAGTTGAATACAATATATCATTTTAAAGTAACAAGATATTAAATGATGATTATTTGTTCAAAAAAAATGATTATTATTAATTTACAATTGACACATATATATATTCCATAATTCTTGTCCAATCGAAAGGAAAAAAAAAAAAAGAATTTAAACAAAATAGGAGTATAGTGAATACTATAATGACAATGATTAAAACTAGCTTTTTTGCTTATTTTTTGTGAAATTTCATCTCTTTCACACACATATATATAGTTTTTAATGTCAAATGACTCAACAATATATATAGTTTTTAATGTCAAATGACTCAACAAATATTAATGTAATCACTCATACCAAAATATTGGGACTCAAATTTCTAATTGATGAATTTTGTTATTGAGTTGACAATAATCCCATATCTTTTCTCCATCAATATCCTCAATATAGTTGCCATTATCAGCTAAAAGCATGGGATCTGTTAAAGCTAGTTGATTCTTCACCCAAACAGCATAACAATTCTTTCCTATCCTTTTAAATTGCATACAACAATTGGGGTAGTAGTTATCGCCATGTAACGGATTGAAGTTATCATCATGTAACAGATCGTAATCAGCATATGAGCGATGAGTTAAAAAACCAAAATATGTTAACCAACAGTCATCAGGAGGTAGGTCCTCAGACTCAGAGCATGATGTACAATCACCAAATTCAGGTTGGTCATTATCGGGTTGTGCATCGGTTACATTTCCCATATCAAGCATTGCATATGAAAATCTTATTGTGTTGTAGGCTAACAACAAACCTAATAAAAAATATATCTTCATATTTATCGCTAGTTAATTGTCAATATACGGTTGTAGGTGTTAATTCATAACCAACATGGTCTTATTAATGAGCATTTTAAAGACATGTGTTGTTTTAATAATTTTATAACTTACACTTTGTCATTAAAAATAGGTAATAAATTTAACATAATAAATAACTTATATACGTTTCTCTCTCTCTCTCTCTCTCTCTCTATATATATATATATATATATATATATATATATATATATATATATATATATATAATTCAGTTCGTGCGGTTGTGCGAAATACGTGGACCTACCAAGGACCGTCCCATGTAGAACTAGGGATGGCAATGGGTCGGGGACGACTACATTCATCACCCAACCCACCTTATATTTTCTCCACTCACCCCCAACTCCAACCCGCATCGGGTGGACTTTTTTAAAACCCACCCCGACCCCACCGGATGCGGGTGCCCATTACGGGGTACACACCACTTATCATCTTATTATTTTTAAAAAAAAATAATATTTAAATTACTGACACGTAATAAAATAATAAAATTCATTAGTGATAATAAAACATAAAATAATAAAAATATTTAAATATAATAACGAAATTGTTAATTTTTAAAAATAAACTTAATAGTTTAGATATAAAAATAATAAAAAGATACACGAAGTTATATAAACTTTTATAAATAATTACATACTTGTACTTATTTTACTATTATATATATATAACACAAACACACATGGTGGGTCGGGTGGGGTTCTAGGCGGGTTTTGTACATAGAATTCGAATCCAACCCGACCAACTGAAGGTTTACTTTTTAAAGACCCACTCCCGACCCACCACCCACCAGCACCCAAAAAAACCTGATCCATGCAGGGTGGATTCGGGTGGATATCCGCGGGGCGGATTGAAATTGTCATCCGTATGTAGGACTGGTGCATGTGGGACACGTGGCTAACATGCCAAGCTCTTGGCATGCGTCCCCGTTTCCCACTATATAAGGCACATCCAACACCTTAATTAGAAAGGGACTTTAAGCATTTTCTCTCTTGAGTATTTATAAGCTCGGGACCTTCCGATCCTCAGTTGTAACTAACCAACCTAATATACTATAATTTTCATTCATATTCATATACCTGAGATTATTTACCACATCAATGACACAACCATTACGTGTAGCTGATAAAAGAAGTGGTAGCTTCAAACTTTAATTTTATACTGTGATTAAGAAAACGCGTTAGCTTTAATCCATTGATGCATTAGTACTTTAAATTTTTTCGGTCATAATTTTTTTTTTTTTTTTTTGGGCAAAATGTCTCCATTATAGCCCGTCAGATGATCACATATTCACATGAACGGTAATTCGACTAATTTCTATAATTACTATATCTCTTAGTACTTCACTTTTTTTAGTCATAATTATTGTTATTATTTTTTTGGCAAAATGTCTCCAGCCCGTCAGATGCATCACATATTCACGTGGATGGTAATTTGACTAATTTCTATAGTACACATATTCACGTGGATGGTAATTTGACTAATTTCTATAATTACTATATCTTTTAATACTTCTCTTTTTTGGGTCATAATTATTGTTATTATTTGGCAAAA